GGTAGATTGGCAACCAATCTGTGTATGAAGACTCAGAAGAGGCGAATCACTGGTCGACCTGAGTTTAAATGTACAAGCATCAACAACTTTTTGACAATCAGAGTGACACGTGACAGTCGATGACTACCATCAGTAAAACTGCCATGCTATGGGACTTTGATGGCATCACCGTTCTGTCCCAATTTGGACGCTCTGCCAAAATCTCAGGCCTCGATGGATAAACCTGGTATAAAATCGCCCGGCCCTGCTACAGCACAGTTTATTGAGCCATAAATCATGATAAATCATTCTACATGTATTCTTGGTAACAGATTTTTTGAAGTTCTGCTGTAGCTCAAATTCAAACCAAGAGAGACATCTATTGACCTGAATTCGGGGAAGTTTTTACCAAGAATACACATAGAATCAATTAAAATAATATTTGGGCCAGTTTCTGGGTCCATATCGAGTCCGTGGAAGCCCATACTTGAATCAGTGGCAAATCCAGTGATAACCAGTACAAACAAAGATGAACTGCCAATTCTATCTGAATACAGTGGTCTCTGGGCTCAGAAAAAGAGGTATATGGTTGTATTAGTACCTGGAAACAGATTTCAAAGTCTTCAGGAGCCAGAGCAGGAGCCAGAGCAGCAGAAGAGGATGAGAACATATCTAAGAGGGAGTTTGCCATCGGAAAGGCCGGATCACGCTTATGTAAGCGCACGATTTTCCCAAACGGATTGCCGGTGGCCATAAACAGCCAATCCACAGCACTCGAAAAGCCAAAGGTTCAAACAGTGCGATCTATTCTACCTGTGCTGTGTCTTCCAACCCAAACTTCTTCATTGTCCGACCAAACTTCCTCTTCATCCTCGCCGGGCCTGTGACCAGAGTCGTCCAAACCTCTTGTGTTTATAGTCACATTATCCAGCCGACCCAATCCCTCCGCGTTCAGATCCGCTGCATGCTCGATCGTGCGAACGACGCTTTCATGCCATTCGATCCAGCTGTCATAGAAATAACTGAACCCATCGTCCCCGTTGTATTCGGAATGGGGAAGCACGTAGACTTTTTCCCGTACTGCTTCCTCGTCGCTCAGGATTAGCCAAACTTTATGCCAGTAGTCCCACATCATAAGGGCAGGCAACTCTATATTCACCTCTGGCCCAGAGGTCTCCCATCTCTTGATTTTCACAGTGTGAACGAGAGGAGGGAGACAGCCGAGACGATTGCGGCCTTCCCTCCTCACCACACCGTCAGCTACACCCGGGGGCTTCGTGTTCGGTAGACCAGGCCATGCACATCCCACAATAGCCCGCGCCGGCCACTCCAGGATCCAGAGTCGGAACTCTTCTGGAATGTAATTGTGTTGATCAAGGATAGCATCCAGATATGCCTGTCTGTTGAAGGGCCGCAAGTTTTCTACCGCCCATGGACGCGTCTCCAGGAATACAGGTGAATCGATGACCCATAAGTAGTGCTCGAGAAGTTTGAGCCGAGTTAGGTTCAGAGCAGCAAAAGGAAGGAGATTCCGCCAGAGTGAACAAACTCCTCTAACTGCAATCAGGGTAGTGAGGTGACAATGGGGAAATATCTGGAGGATGAGTTCATTGGAGAAATCGGAGATAGTCGCCATGGGATGAGATTATAAGGCTTCTGGCGCCGTGGACCCACAGACACCCACCGCGTATTTGGGCGAGCGGGCAAGGCAAGCTTCAGTTGATTGGTGCAACGACTCTTTTGGCTAGGGAGCAGTCGAAGAGAGGTACAATCCAGCCCAGACGAATGAGATCTGGACACCTAAGTAGTCGAAACGAGTGTAGGATGGGCGCTTTGCCTCAGGCCCAAGCCCAGCCCAGGTGGGAGGCTGTGTCCCCGGCCATCAATCGACATCAACCCAGGGAAAATGAGTCGGCACACCTTGGGTGGTGTTGGAGAGACGGCGCAAGCTCAGCCAGAGGGGGACATCGATTCGACGTCGAGAGATTTTCGTCGATCACGCGTCACATCCAGCCACTGGTGATTTATATTTATTATTTGACACCGACTCAGCAAAGCTTTCCCACTTAGAAGGCCCCGGGAAGCTCCACCAAAGCCTTGTCCGGATTTTGGGGTTTTTGAGGCCGAAAAATGGTGATTCCCCTGTCCGAAGTTGGGTGTCCAGAGTTGGGGTTTTTGACGGAATTTTCCCAAGAATTCTTCCCAAATTCTGGGCCCAGAGTGGCCAGGTTTTGATTGACAGACATTATTTTGTGACATTTTTGGGCGAGTCACACAGGCGACGCGTGACCCACGTGATGACCCTTGTCCGACTTGGGGTCCAAAACTCGCCAAAACGTGGGGTTTTTGAGGCCAAAACCTTGGGTTTTGCCCGGACAAGGCTTCGGTGGAGCTTCCCGGGGCCTCACTTAAAGTTACGTCCATCACCCCCTGGATACATTGTACGGCTCACGCGACTGAGAGCTTTCTGTAGATCCTGGACTCAACTTGAATCCGAGACTCTTGTTCTTCGAAATTCAAGACCGCTTTCTGACCTGACTGTCTCTCCGTGATCACGTTAACTTGAATGTTGCCATGTACTCAACGGATCAGATTTTGCATGCTTCCTCTCTGAATCTTTCATTTATTCTTTCTTCCGAATGGGATATTAACGGGACCGCGCCGGAATATACCTACCTACCTAACAACACGACAATATATTTCGAAACAATGGCAAGTCGGCGACTTGATTCTATCGGGACCCACAAATCACGTCAACACTGTCATCTTCTTGTAATTTCTTGTATTCCAATGCCTACCAGCCTGATTCCCGTGGCATACTTCCGATTTCCTTTGTTTTCTTGACAGAAATGAATCACTCTGTTGCGTGGGCGCCTACTGGGGCTCTCTATTAAAGTGCCTTTGCTTAGGGAAGTATTCTTTAATCCAAATTAGCTCCTAGCTCCAATCTCTCCTCTCCACACTTCAAACATTCTACCATGAGCCGCAGGAATGGTCAATATATTCACCAATGATTTTCACTTGACCTTAATTCTCGAATCCGCTTTTAGATGCTCCTCACGATCCCTACAATCTCAACCACTCTAGGAGACACGAATCTGCTGCTGCTCGCGTTCCTCTCAGTGAGCTCGTCTCTCTTTTTTTCGAATTGTTTCTGATAAATACCTTAGATTATGTGGCGGGCCAGCCGAGCACTTTCGCCCCGGGAGGCACTCCCGTGTATATTCAGCCTCCACAGTTTAATCACGGTTAGCCTTCGTTCTGGTGCATGAGCAAACATCTAGACATGTCTCCAGCTCCCAGGCCTATTACGCAAGGAAGGTACGACTGGGGTCCAGCGTATAATCCCACAAATCAACACCCTAGTCAGTTCCAGGACTCTTTCCTACAACGTGGCAACCTAACTAGAAAAAACGCAACAGTTTTCACACCCTCCGTGAATGAGCCACAACCTAGTCAGTCCACGATTTCCCCCTCAATCTCTGTTTACTGAATAAATAAACGTTACAAGTGAATTTCCTCGATAGAAATCTCGTGACCTGGTCCCACCAACTCGCGCAACAAAATATCAATCAAGTCCATGACCGACGCTCTGCTGCGTACATCATGCAGTACAAAAATGACCTTGACCCCATCGGATGTCACAAAGAGCATGTCGATCTATGTCAAGATCTTAGCAAGGACAGCCGTGTTCCATTCATGGCTGGGGTCTCTTTTGGTGGAGGTGATCGCAAAAAATGTGTTTGGCCTTTCTATTCCCACGGAGGGGGAAGAACACGAAGCAGTCAGGCAATCCAGAATAGCAGCTTTCAAATCTTCAATGCGTAGTAAGATCGAGGCGATAGCGGATGGTCGAAACCCCCTGGGACTTGTTGTGAGTATTATTATACCATCCCTCCTCAGATACCTCGGGGAGCAGGTACACTGAGGACGGTACGCTGTGTGTCCACCGAGGTCCAGTACGCTGTGTGTCCACCGAGGTCCAGTCCAAAGTGCAGCACCTTTTTTGCCCAAAATGCCAAGAGATGGCCACCATCGTCGCAAACGAAAATCCTGGGTTGAGAATCTACGATGTGGTAAAACATCGGTACTACCAGTCGACCGGCACAGTGCGTCTTTCCTACGGGTTTCACAAAAGCATAACCTCTAAATGAACCTCAGGCTGCCGCCTACAATCTGTGGGAGAACGGTGGGTCTCACAAGGCTGCTATCAAGGTGAACTTGACATAACCATTTCCTCGTGTTCTGAATCTGATCGATTCACCTCCCAGCTTCTCAAAAGTTGGCAGCAGAAATACGGAAATCAGGAAATTGAAGTGAGTTTTGTGGTTCATCGTGTTGTACAACATCCGACATGGCGGGCACACAGCAATCCATTTCTTCGGGTTGGAGCTCACGATCTGAGGCCTCAGCTTCTAGCTCACCCCCACCCCAAGATCGATGCACACGGCCGAAAACTACTCTGCGATTTAATGCGTAGAATAGGCACTAGTTGGAAAGATATATCAATTTAAACAGATCGTTTTGGTCCCCGCAAGCTTAAATTCGTAAGGCCCTCTGGTCAGCCCTGGTCCCTCCACCTGGGCCAGGGCCATTCCATGCAAGATCCCCCGAAATCTTGGAAACAATTCTCTTCCAATACAAAATATATCTGAGGGGCTACAATGACACTCTTTCCATAAGCTATCATGAGTGAAGTGCATGATACATATCCACTGTCCCCCAAGAGTTCCTCCACGTCGTGCGGAAGAATCTTCGCACGCATGAGTCATCAGTGTACCGGACGCGGAGGTTTAATCCGGGGACATTGATCGAGCCACCCTTGAGGGACACACAATACCATATTGGATAGACTGATGACGCTCATCATGCCAAATAAAGCTCAGGTCGACAAGTCTGACTAGCGACGACCTTGCCTCTCTACTAGCAGACTGATCGGTTACCGGTCTAGTTTTGGGTAGTTGTCACAAAAGCGACAAGAAAATAATAAAAAACTATTTAATGGAATTGAATGTCAAAACTTCCCATACGGGGAGTCGAACCCCGGGCTACCGCGCTCCCGCATTATGAAAAGCGGTAATGTTAAACCGCTACACCATATAGGAGTGATGAACTGCAATCCCATTCTCCCTGTAGACCTTGGGACGATCAACAGTAAATATTTTTGAACCTGTGGTTGAAAAGCAAGCGCAATGAAATAAATACCTGTCAATGGAGTTTCCTCGTCCGAAGTCAATGGCGCCCCGAAGCTTCGCGGCACTCAAAATCACTTGGACCCTTGCACGCGGATCGCTTCGCTCAGAAACACCTGCCCCCCCGGGCCAATTCACTCAAAAACACCCTCGTCGAACTGGCACCCCACTCGCTCCGCTCGAAATTTGTGGCCTCCTCGCCAGGGCTCGTCAGCTGCAAAAAGCGGTAATGTTGAACCGCTACACCATATAGGAGACATAGACAGGTGATAATATTGAAATCCCATTCTCCTTGTAGACCTTAGGGACGGTCCACAGTAAAATACTTTTGAACCTGTGGTTGAAAGGCAAAAGTAATGAAATAAATCCCTGCCAATGGAGTTTCGTCGTCGGAAGTCAATGGCGCCCCGAAGAAGCGACACTGTACTACATATCTCTAGACCAAGGTACCTGGATGTAAGATAGATGAGACCGTGACGGTGGGCCCTCAGTGGGTTCCAGATTGTCGAATTCCGTCTTAAGTTCAAATTTGAGCCGATTTTACGTCCCCGGTGAATGATTCTTTTTCGGAGAGCGCACCCCTCGTGACGCTAAGTGACGGAACCTGAGGGAGCCATGTCCTAGTCTCATGGTGGGTCATGCTTCTCAACATGAATATAAGCCACAACTCACTGGCAGTCGTTACCATACCCGACCATCATCGTCTGATGGCCGGACGAGACGGAAAATGAGCTGTTCCAATAGCACAGCATAATGCATTGTCAGCCCCAGGTTACCCTCAACAGAGGATTCCGGAAACCAAAGAAGGCGCCCAAGTAATTAAACGACATCGATCTCAGAAGCATTGAAAGTGGCATTTGAAAACCGAGGCGATAGCGAGGTTCAACTTGAATTGAAATGATAGCAAATACACAGCATAACGACAGCAGTACAGACAGAGCAAAGTGGAGAGCGATAAGAGTTCGAGGGTCAAATATTCCTTCACAATACATAAGCGACATGCGCGCGCCAGTTCTTCCCATCGTGAGACCAGAGATGGCACAACCGAAGTTGACAGACACTTTTAACAACGATTTGACCTTGGCGGATTGCGCTGGCGTCGAAAGTATGATTCTGGAACCGCGCATGAGAAAATGAACAATGAAAGGCAAAGACGTATCAGCAAACCTGGAACAAAAAAAAATACGCGTTACAGGCGCCGATAGCAAGGTTGAAACGCGAGATAGGACGATGGCGACAGTTCCCGGCTATGTGTCTCACAATAGTCGGATACCCTTTGGCCTGAGGTAGGAAATTATCAGATAGGTATACGTAACAGATGGAGGCAACGCACCTCGATTGTCAAGAGAACCTTCTCCGTTCCATTGTTAAGAATTTGCTCACGGGGGTTCTCCATGCAGTCACGGAAATCAAGAATCTCGGCCATCGAGACACCAAAAACCATGTGAGACGAAGAGAGCTTGGGGTTGAACGCAATCATGATGATCCCGTCCATAGGCGGAGGGAGAGGAGTGGGAATCTGGGGTTTCTGACCATGATAGAATTTTGCGAAAACGGGGTCTGTCGTTCCGGCCAACTGTCGTCGCTTTTCGACTTCGTTGTCAAAGTGGCAGTGCATGCACTTGGTAGGATCCCCCGAATCGTGCTCTAATCGCTCCTGCCGGAACTAGTTCTCGATGACCTGCCTGAGGTCCGTGACTGTTGAAGATCTTTGAGCTTAAAGAGTCGAAAATACACGTGAGGCACGTACGGTAGTAGGACGGGTTCGAGTACGCGCGTGTGATACATCTAGGGGGGGTTGTTGTTCAGGAGGGCGTAACTGGGTAGAGACGGCAAATTAAGTTACTTTGCAATCCAAGAGAAAAAGATACCTCGCACCCCAGGAGCATGTGGTTGACCATTACTGTGGCGGGGAGTTTGAGCGTAACGACCACCCATACGATTTGAAACAGCTGGTTCAGGAGCAGAGACTTGAGTTTGAGGCTGTGGAAAAGAACTTTAGAAGCAACGCGAAAAAATGACTATTAGTGCAGCCTACCCGTGCTCCACGTGGCTGGCCGGTTTCAATGACGATCGGCGGGAGCGTACCCTGCATAATTAATTAATTATAAGTGAGCGATGCGGCACCACAAGAACCGAATGGGTACTTACAGGGTAGCCACGGGGAGACAGTCGAAGGCTGGCCATGGGAGGCTGCTATGTTATCAAGTCAGCATCGTGAAATGGTACAACCGAGAGCAAAACAAACCTGAGGCGTAGCACGAGGGCCAACATGTAAAGGTTGAATCGGGGGGTAAGAATATCCCGGGGCGGCATTGTTACGCGATGAAAGGTTCATATCAGGGCCAGGCTGTCGAAGGGACGAATAAAATTCAGTGGCATGAAGATTTGTAGGTGGTGACAACCGCTTACGAAACCAAACCATGCAGACTGATGGCGGGGACCATTAGACTGCGGATGCGCAGTCTGCTGCAGTTGATTGACTTCTTCAAAGAGCCTGCCAACGGGTGGGAGGATGTTGGCAGCATTCACGATCTGCAGAAGACATTGAAGAATTAGGGTGGCAGAAAATCTAGAAGCAAGTCAAATATGTACCGAGGGTGAGCAGTAGAGCGATGCGACATGAGATGTGGAGAATGAAATTGGAAAGCACGATAGCACGATGCAGAGCAAGATAGCAGGAGTAGAGCGAGGACAGCAGGAGAGAGAGGGCGAAGACAACTGTTACTTGATTGCTTATATATATACCACCGATTGGAACAATGAGCCTCAAGCGGCACCACCAAAGCGTTCAAAGACCAATTGGTTCAAATCGATCACCAAGAACTGCCAAAGCTCAAGCGTCGATCATCGTGGTTATGGTCAACTTACATCAGCTAAAAAAAGGGCTTCGAAAACAGAGGTCCACAACTGATGTGAAATTAAAACGACAACAGACGCCTCAAGTGCACAGAAAAGACACCACGAAGTAAAGGTCAGTGATTTTATAAAAAATTAGCCTCCAGATTCGTGACCTGAAGCCAGATTCCCTGGGTCCAGGGGCAGGAGCGTTCGAAAGAGTCGTAAAAAAATACCCGGCAGTTTCCGAACAAAGAGCATTCAGCCAAAAGGGGAACAAGGGCCCTTAGATCGAGCTCCGGGCGGAAATTAATACACCGATCATTGCATGCCAGACTATGTAGTTGCAGGAATGAGATATTCTGGCAGTTCCAGGATCGAGTTCACGACCTGAGTAAAGAGAGGCTTCCTGTCCACAATTTGAATTCGGTTATGAACACAAGTAAAATAATGTTTCTGCAGTGGTAGAATCGAATCGAATCGCAACACGAAAGAGCGAGATAAAACATGCGCAATAAAAGCACACGCAATAAACAAGGTCCATAGATGCGGTTGCCAACGCAGAAAAGTAGAGGCGTGGAAAAAGAAAATAGGGAACTTGACCAAAACTTGGAAGAAGGTAACAAGGACCCATAAACACCCACACCCCATTTAGGCAGCGAGGCAACAAAAATTAAAGAGAAACGCTTGGCAAGTGCCCCGCGGGCAAAGAACTAAAAGGGTACAAGGACTCATACCTCGTTGAAGACAAAGGTAGCGCCCCAGCACGTTTCTTTGAAAGGCACCAGTGGCGCGGCAGGGTTTGGGCCATCTGGGGAAAGCTAAGGTAAATTATGAGACGCACCAGAGTTGCACTTCAAGTTGATAAAGAAATAGCGAAACTTGAAGCCTGTGGATTGAAGGTTAGTCACTGATGCGCCAGGTAGGACAGAGGAACAAGGGCGATTTGGCACAGATAGTTGCGTATAGCTTGATTGTGCTTTGGGCCAGTGAAACTGCATTATCTATAAGAGAGTAGCAGAAAGTGTCTAGATGGACCCCGCGATTGCCCCGCGATCATTCTCCAACTTGGACTCAGACGTTTTTGACTTATTATAGTCAACTGATTTCTCGAATGTGACCCCGAGACTTTCCGTTCTGGGGCTCTGTTATCTATGGATGACTCGAGGTTCGCTACCAGTCCCGCCATTATTAGACTCGTAGACTGGAGTCGCAAGGAGCGGGGTGATAGGAGTGAGCTTGGACATCACGCTTCACGAGCAAAGAGCCGCCTGTCGAGTTGTGAATTAGGCGAGAGGGAACCAGCTGCTAGTCAGGTGCATGCAGCGATTCCGCGTCGCAGGGTAAAAGAGAGTTTGAAACAGAAAACAAATCCTAAGTGCGGGCCATTCCTACCAAAGGCTTTGCCAAATAAAGCACAGCAACATCTCAAGGCAAAAATGGTGAGTGACTTCGCTATACAGCTACATGTATCTTAGGATACTCATGGTAATGGTGGTAATACAAATGAAGTTTCTATGTAGTATGGAGCAAGGACGATTGTAGATGTAGGGGAGAAAAATCAAAGCTTCCAAGCCAACTTTCTATATAAGCTTCACTCTGTTACGACGTTCGCCGCGTTGCCATTTACCAGGATCTTTTCCTTGCCGTGCGCAACAGGGATGCCCAGCCTCAGCACCGCCTCCGCGACCATGGAAGCCTCGGGGTGAGGGGGTTGGAAGGTGCGCAACTGGATGTCCAGCTGCTCTTGGAACACTTCAGGGCTGGACGCCGCAGCGATGAGGCCCAGGAACGGCGGCGACGGGTTCAAGGGGCGAGTGCAGAACTCAGGGTGCGCTTGCAGGCCCATGAAGAACGGGTGGTCTAGAGGCAGGAATTGAATGCGCTGATACCGAGAGCAAGACGTGATCACAAACCAGGCAACTCGAGCACCTGCATGCGTTCACCCTTCTCGTCCTTCCCCGCGAATATGAGCCCGCTTTCCTGAAGCCGCTGTACATAGTCGGGGTTGACCTCGTACCGGTGCCGGTGACGCTCCCAGATCTTCCCTGCACCACCGTACAGCTTGCGCGCGC